GTTCGAGACCAAATGCTTATTTTCATTTACGGTCAGAAAAAAGTGTCAGCATTTGTTGCAGAAATGTCTTGTTTTATGACACAGTCTATCTTGGATTCGGGAATATGGTTAATTTGAAGAAGAAAAAACATTTTTTTCTGAAGAAGTACTTGATCACGTATCTGTTTTAATACCAATGACCTGTTGGGAATGGACACTTCTGTTTTCAAAACTGGTCAATAGAAAACAGAACCCTTTCGGTTCATTATCCTATACAAGATAACAAAATGTTCGCAATGCAAAGTTCATTTTTCCACTTTTACTATATATGTATTGGCCCATGATAAGTGAGAATGAACGTTATGTCGAATTAGTAAAACCAGATCTTCATCCTATATGATTACTTTAAAAAAATATTTTACATGTATATGTGACTTTTATAATAACACCCATTGAGTACCTTGATGATGTCTAGCAGTTTTTGCACGTTTTTTCTTTCGTCCTCCTCAAACTCGCCAAGTTTTTCCATGGCGTCCGTCCACTCATTGTCGTACAACTCGTTGTACTTCTCCCCCAGCTTTATGGGTCTGTTGGGGTCACTGAGGTCAGGAATAGCGGTGTTGCCGTCACTAAGTTTTTTCTCTGCCCCCTTACTGTTAAAACAGCAGAATAATAGCGGATGGATCCAATCATGTTAAATGATAGAAATACACAGTGATTGGACGACAGATTATTCTAACTTCGATAAATTAATTCTATAGTAATAGGGACAGAGAAAAGTACTCCTTTGTGCACTTAATATACGTATAACACAAATATATTTATATATACAATTCATGTATCAATAATCTGTAGGGATATATTGATCTGCTGTTTTCTTTAATCGTATGACAGCTACTGTATTCGATATTACATTGTATCACATAAATTATCAAAACATGATTCTTGTAATTAAATTAATTTGGAGTTCGTGTTATCTACCTAAAACAAATTAAAACAAAAGTAAACAAAACTTAAAAAATAAATAAATCAAAAAATAAAAGTGTATTTCCGATTTATCAATTATTCCCGGTGTTCCATCCTATATATGCTTCTAAAATGTAAGGAATCCTTCAGGGCGGCAAAATAGAATAAATAATAACCATGTTGCGACATTATATGTTATTACGATAGCGAAATGGAAATAGTATTGATCTGCCATGCGCTTTGGGGAAAAACCCCACACAAAAGTAATTCAGACAAGCAAAACATAACTCAAAAGAAAGTTCTTTCATCACGTAGACTACAAAAAAACAAAACTGTATTGTGTTCACTCTAGTAGGTATCCAGATCCATGTATATAAAATTAATACCAATTTTACATATTGCTTACCTATTACATGTATAACCAACCCTCTGTCGTTGAATTATCAGGTAAAAAGACGTAACCCTTTTATATGAAATAGTTCAAATATTTCCAACAGATATTTTTTGTCTTTCTGCTGCTTACTTTTTACATTTTCACAATACACACGAATACTTATTTGTTGATACCTGTCACATGGTAAACATGAGTCCAAAGAGATCTGCTCTATTTCACTGCTGACGTTATCTTGTTTCCGTTTTAAATCTTCCTTGTATTTATTGTTTTCAGTCTTCAAAGTTTGGATGACACCAAGAAATTCGTCGGTCTGTTGGCATTTACTTTCCAGCTTCTTGTTTTCTTTTTGTAGTGTGTCCTTCTCGTTCAGAAGAGCTTCCAAATCTTTCTCCAGCTGTTTCATCCGTTTGGTTTCCTGTAGTGTACAGATAGTTTACCACAGTGAGTGCATATTCTATCTGATATTTTAGCCAGGTACTTCCTTACTCGTATTTCTAATTTTTATCACTGTCTGTTGAATATTTGTCGTAACCTTGTACAATTTGTAGCTCTAGTAAATCACCTAAAAGTTGTAAATTGTAACTTACGTAGGAAAGAGTTTTATAGTAACATTCCCCCTTTTACTATACATTTGTATATCGGAAAATATTTAAATTGATCTTTCATTCTCTCGACCTTTAATACCATTAAACTTTAAGT